TATACACCTAGCGAACGAACACCGAACGAACAGCGAACGCGAACGTTCATTGGTTGCGTTCAGCAGATGTATACGTCAAAGCAAATAAGAATCGAACATTCGATTCGCGTTCGACTCGGTTCCCTCATGAAGCGGTACATCAAAGACAATTCGTGCGCGGTTCGTGCTCGGTGTAGACGTGCAAATCACGTGTTCGCTATTTGGCTGTTCGCCTGAATCATCATAACCTTTTCTGTGCTTTTCTGTACTAATATTCTGTATCATAAAGTTGAAAACTTTAAATAAAGATTATCGTATTGGTCTTTTCGAAAAAGATTGCGTAAATACTATGGAGTGGACTGAAGAAGAGATTATAAAACTAATAATTTCTTACAGGTATAAAGAACGTGAACTATTGTGGAATCCTAAACATATATTGTATCACAATAAATTAAAAAAATGTACTGCTTGGGAAATTTATCTCTGTGTATATATTTACAGCACAAATTTAAATGTAATTATGTGATTTACAAAATATTAGTTATAAAATAAAAACATTAATTGTCACAAAACTCACAAGCAATAAGGTTATAGCGAACAATGACCCGAACACCGAATCAAGATCGAATGGGTGTTCGACTCGTGTTCGATGCAATCGAGAAAAATGTACGCACGAACTACGAACATGAACGCAAATGTCCGAATGTTCGCGTTCGCTGTTCGTTCGGTGTTCGTTCGCTAGGTGTATACGCGGCTTTAGAGTCTCCATTTTAACTCTCTCCTGATCGCACATTTAAATTTTTATTTTATCTAAAATTCGAATATGTGAGCCACGTACACGAAATTTATGTACAATATAGCTGTCCCGCCTCGTGGCGCTCTTGCGACATAATCTCGGTATCTCTAAATTTGTACAGAAAGCATCACCTCACGTTGCTAAATATTTGTGTAGGGTACACTGCCAATTACTGAAGGTCTACACGAGACGGACTCAGGAATCGTCTCGAGACCCGACGTGCCTCAGCTGTTCTACGTGAACGAGTTAGAACAAGGTCGTCGAACGACCGGTCTTTCAAGGCTACAGATTCCATTCGCGACCAACTTTCGAAGCCGCAAAGTTCCTTTGTCTTGCCCTATGATTATAATATCTTACGTTTGAAATGGATCAAAAAAGTCGTTCGTTCTTTTTCAATTTTTATATAAAAATTCCAGATTTTTTTTATAATTTGTGTATAATTTTACATTTTTTTAGAAAATTTATCAGTTTTTTATCAATTTTAAAACATTTCTTTTGAGAAATCTTTTAAATAAATTTAAAATACGACAAATTCGTGAAAGTATTATGAGAGATACTGAAAATTTTTTTTACAAGGATTGCTAATTAAAAAAAAACGAACAATTTTTTTCTTCAATTCAACATTTCCAAGTACATCCAACGCAAAAATAATTTCACGCGTGAATACGCTCTTCCACATATTATTTCTTAATTGTTGATAAGTTATTCTTGATTTTGTTATAGTTGCAGCGATAAATAAAATTTGTAAAATTTTAATAAGTTACACGATACCGTTATATATATGAATAAATCAAACAAGTAAAGAAATGTCAAATATTGTTACACGCAATCGTTAACTGAAGTTAAAATAATAAATTAAATTGATCGTCAATTTAAGAATGATGCTAATAAGCATTTTGAAACACCACAAAGAACTTATTGTGAAAAATATCACCTCAGCCACTACATTGTATTTGGCGTTTCTTTACTTATTTGTAACACTTTATCTAAGTGTGGCGCGTTTACAGTTTTATACATTTTATTTGAAGTAAGTTTGATTCATAGCGATTAATCTGACGTTAAAAATTAAATAACTATAATGTAATATAGAATAGTTAATAATATTACAAAATTCTCTTAACTCTAGATTGGTAGTATAAATAAAATTGCTATTCAATCTAAAGTTACAAAAAGAGAATTTTGCAAATGTTGATTGTGACATCGACCGAAATCGGACGACTATTGGGCATCCAGGTGATTGATGAAAAAGCGCGAGCTTACATCATCTCGATTTACTGTATAATTCGTTTCGCGCACAGGAATTATTTATACAACTTCCTTTATCATTGCATTTGACGACTATTTGACAATTGATGTGCTTTTCGAGAATATACGTTGAACATTCCACTTGTCGGCGCGACACAAACTGCAATGATGCTCAAATTAATTTTATGTGCGTCGATGATATTTTTTTCTTACACGTTAATGCAAAAAAAATATTATGTATAAATATATATAAATTGACGAGACACGTTTGCTCGGTTTTGATTGCGTGATTGTTTAAAAGTTCAAACGGATTTCAATTAAAATTACCATCTGCACGTTTTCCTGCACGAAACCACTGTTTCGTATTTATTACGCGCATATTTGTTAGATATCGGCTAAAAACCGAAATAGAGACTGCATTTATTCGTGGTCTCCTTGCTACGCAGAAACCAACGATAAGCCGATTATACTTCTACGTTTTGTACTTAAAATGTTTCAAAGCCTACACACTCGAAGCGATAAGTGATAAGCGTGGCAATTATTTTTGTTACTTAAATGTATACATATAACATATATATATATATATA